TTCCCCAGCCAGCATGGCTGGCTGGGGAATTCTGGGAGTTGAAGTCCACATGTCTTAAAGTAGTTTGAAAAACACTGCTCTAAATGTTTGTATTTGCTTTGCTGCATAATGTGTAATGTATATGGAAGCCATTCTTGCTTATATTTATTTAAATCTCTATTTTGTATGTATACTGTTAACTTTCACCACTGTCCATCTTTTCTATCCCCTTAGGACAAACATGGTGGTCCTACATTATTATCAACGCCCCAGCGAGGCCGACAGTGGTCTCAACAGTCTTCTGCACTCTGCCCAAACAATCGTGGGCAATGGCGTCGAAGCGGTTCAGAAGGAGCTGTGCTTCAACGTTAACTGGACAGGTATGAGCATTGAATCAGCCTGGGTCTAGATTCTGATTAAGGATGGGGAACGAAGGATTGTGGGAAGCCTGCCGCATGGGGGTTAACCCTTATTTAAGGGCTAATGGCTTGGTTCAGAGCTTGCTCATGCCTCTCTCTCACACAGACAGTTGCTTGCTTGCTGGGTTATAGCCCTGTTGTATTATGGGAGAATTGGCTCATTCTTTTCATCTATGTTTTGTCACCAGGAAGGATACTCCCAAACTCCCAGGAGATGGAGATGTTGCAGTGGGTCTTTGGATGTCCATTCGAACAAGGTGACATCGCAACCAAGTCTTTCCTCGACCCACGTCCGTCTGATCTGCTGGTAGAGATTGGTCCCCGGTAAGGCTAGTGGTGGGGAGAAAGCTTCGCTGCTCGAACAAAAAAACAACAACAACAAAAGGAAATTATTTTACTTATTTCCAATGAAATAAATTCCCCTTTTGTGAGTCCTGTACCTTGCTTTTTCATACTGGTTCACAATTAAAAATAATCCCAAAGTGGAAGGCGATGGACAGATATGCACATTGCCTAAAGTCATCATTTGTTTAATTGCTGCTTGTTAAAGAAGCCACAATTAGATGGCTTCACTCGTTATACTAAACAGTCAGTACTAATTTACAAACTCTAGTGGTTGTAGTTGTGTTTGGATAAATCAAAACTGAACAAGCTATACAGTGGTACCTCGGGTTAC